ATGGTACCCACTGTTCTTGGTCAATGGTCAAAGGCAAATACCCTTTTTGTATATCTAGTTGTAATCCATGAAAAACAATTTTTGAAAAACAAGTATTTATGGAAATCTGCTGTCGATTTTAGTAATGGACGTGGAAAAAAAGCTGAAAAAGATTTTCTCTAAAACTAGACAAGCTTGTGGACATTTTACTGTGTAAATGTAAATTAATTCTTTGTTCAGAGTACAAATGTGGTTCAGGATGTATGAAAAAAATTCATGTAAAATGCAAATGTAAGAGAGAAGAGAAAACATCAATTTTAGAGCTTCAATTTATTTATTCTCAGAGAATATAGGAATATAGGAAGCTTTGGAACTTTTCATATTGGTAGGGCAGATAGAAAAGAATCCAAAAAAAAAAAAAAAAACAGCAACAACAAAAAACAGCAATGATAAAGAAAAAAAAGGCAGCTATTTAATAATACTTACTTGTTACAATATAATATATACAAACATTTATCATTTTAGAGAAAAATTTATTATAATATATAATTTTTTTTTTAAGGCAGATAAAACAAATGACAAACTTGAACAATTTGATTGTATGAACGAAAATGAATATGTATCTTTTTTTCAGACACATATTGGGGAAGTAAGTTTAAAACTGTTAGTTGCTTTCAAAGTATTTATTTTATTTTCATTATTTTTCTTCATATTCTATATTCAAGTGGATTTTTATTACAATTATAAGATTGAATTAATATTCTGTATTGTATTTTTGTAGACAAATATGAAATTGAGTAGATGTGGAGTTAAATAAGTTATTGATTATTTTGAGAATGACAAAAAAACAGTTGCATATATTTTAGTATAGATACTGATTAAAAATAAAAATAAAATATTTGTATTTTTTAAGATTATGTACGTCACAAAACTGTTATGCAAGAAAAAGTTTACGCAAATAGCTCCTCTATGACATTTCAAGATAATAGTGAGCAGAACATAATCCAAGTAGATAGTCAAACTAAATGTAAATCACCCCTTAATCAAACTTTTTCTATGTATAATACTATGAAAATCAAAAATATTGCACTGGCTAGCATGAGACATCAAACAAGTTTAAGAGAAGCAGCTTAAATAGCGACAGCTACCTTGATAGATGCAAAAATTATAAGCGAGAGTGATTTACATCTTATTATAGATCATAACAAGATCAAAAGGGCTCAAAAAAAATTAGCAAAAGAATTAAACAACCAGTTTGAGATATCTTTTCCATTTTGTTACAGATGTGACAGCTAATTAAAAAAAGCATAAGTTATTGCAGATTATTTGGTTGACTGGTTAAAAACTAAAAATCAAATTCAAAATCTCATAGCTATTGGAGGAGATAGCACAAATATTAATACTGGTTGAGCAGGTGGTATCATGCAATGGGTAGAGAAAAAATTAAATAGAAGATTAGTTTGGATTGTTTGTGATTTACGCACTGGTGATTTAGGGTTAAGGCATTTAATTGAAAATTTAGATGGTAAAACACTTTCTTATAATAAATGGTCTGGACCACTTAGGAAAATGCTTGACATAGCAACTGAAATTGAAATTAATTCAAACTTTACTAAAATAAATTTAGGTCCTCCTTTAATATATTTCAGTCAGAAGATTATTAAGGATTTAAGCACTGACCAAAGACTGGAGTTCTTCCTTACAGGTTAGCAATGCTGGAAATTAGACAAGTCTGCCACAGTAGATGGCTAACAAAAGCCCATCTATTTTGCAGAATTTGGGTTTCAAATCATGGGCTTACTGGTGAAAATCTAGAAAATTTACGAGTGATTGTAAATTTTATTGTTATTATTTACATACGCAATTGGTTTAACATTAAAGTGAAATCAAATTGGATAGAGGGTTCCTGACATGTTTTATATCAACTAGAGTTACTTAGAACTCAAAGTAAAAATGTTTTAGATACTGTTATGTCAACAATTAGGCGATCAGCGTGGTATGCACATTCTGAAGCAATTTTACAAGCCATGCTTTACTATGCTACCATGCTAAAAATACAGAAGAAAGAAAAGAAGTTATAACAAGGATTCTTAAGATTCGAGGAGAAGGAGATGAGATAAATCAAGTTGGAGATAGTAGTATCAGAGTAAGAAAAACACCTGAAATAAATCCTCATGCTGATCAGCTAGTTAACCTCATAACATGGAACTTGAATGTAACTGAGCCACCACTTACCTGCAATCTTACCTCTGCGATAATCAAAGAGTTTTTAAACTACCCTATGGAAGTTTCTCCTTGGACTTCTCATACATAGTCTGTTGAAAGATGCGTCAAATTGGTAATTGAAGCTGCAGGCCATGTTTACACACACGAGAAAAGAGAATCTTATATGCGTGCTCAGCTTGCAAGTAGACATTTAATGTCATAAAATAGAAGCAAAAAGGATATAGCAAGGATATAGCCTTGTACAAGCAGGATATAGCCTTGTACAAATGCAAATGGAGTAGCTAAAGTCGTTAAAAAACGATGTGTTCGTTAAAAACTTGTATAGGGTAAAGGAAGGTATGTTCGTGATATATGTAATTTCGTGATATTTCTTTCGGCATTTGTAGCGAACATACCTATTAGTCAAAAACATCGAAATTGCGTCAAATGGTACCCGGGGTACTACTGTCGATTCACAAATAGTCGTTGGGTGCGTGTGATACGTCAATTGTTTACTATCAGTTTGTACATTCTTTAGCATTATTTTACGTGCGTTCAGCACATTTGTTTGGAGTACTTGTCCAACATTTTTATTTCCAGACTTGTGTTTTAAGGTAAGTAAATTATTTTTATTAAATATTAAACTAGAAAACATGCTTGATTTAATGGTAAAACTTTTGTTTTTTTATTAACTTCCTATAACTTATGATTCCTTATCGCAGTTACACATTTTCTTAACGTTTTCACCTCAAATGAATTTACATTTTTAATCATGTTTCTTTTATTAAATATAATGACATTAAAAATTGTTTTAAGCATGATATAACTATATAGTTAAATGAAGATAATATCTTTTATAATATAGAAAATGCATTTAAAAAAAGTGGCATTTGCCCTTTAAATAAAAATGCCATTCCTCCAGAAGCAATAGCTCCATCTCAATTGACAAACAGAGAGATTCAAAGTACAGAAATTTAACCACACAGTAACACTGCTATACAAACATTGTTAACTATTCCATCTGTAGAGCCAACCACACCTAACCCTAATAGGCCAAAAAGGGATTCAAGTGCAAAGTGTCTGACTCCTCCTGATCAACCTATTCCATCAACTTCAAAGGATTCTATTCCTGTATGTTCTAAAAAAAGTAAAAAAAATAAAAATGCTTCAAAAGATGATGATTGGGAGTGCGGTGTTTGTAAAAAAAGTTACAACAGTGATGTAAAAAACAAAAATGGAAAAAAATGGGTGCAGTGTTCCTATTGTTTAGTACCTTATCATGAGAGTTGTCAAACATATGAGGACATTGGTGAAGTATTTATGTGTGATACATGTTGTCAACAAGAATGTGATTTAGAAAAATAAGATAATCAGATATAAGTATGGTTAATGTTATAGTTATTATATTAAGAGTTTTTTGTAGGTCTGTTATTTTATTTTCTAAGCTACCTATGTTAAAAGTATATTTTTTTTATATATAAATATAAAGTAATGAAAGTATTATTATAATTTTGTTAACTTATAAGCCTGACTATATTTATATTTTATGAACTTAAAGTCTGATTGAATAGTTATGAATTCAAAACAAGTGTTGATATTTTTTGTTATATTATACCAGATGTTATACTTAATTAATAAAGAAAAATTTAAATATTATTGTGTACTCACGAAATTACCTAACCACTATCACGAAATTAAATATCATATCACAAAATTACCTAACTTTTCTCAATGACTTTTGAGCTTTTATAAAAACTTATCAAAGGACTTAAAATCCCAAAACTGCATAGATTCTAGTAACTTTACTCTATGTACATCAAACAATTAAAGTAATTAAGTAAAATTACTGAAATTGACTTTGTAATTACACATCTACTTAATTTATCACGAACATACCTCCCTTTACCCTACTTAACACTTTTAATAGTTTGCATTGTTGACAGAAGGAAGTTTTTTTTATAAATAACGGGTACATACAAAAATGAGGAAGGCTTCAGGAGTTCTACTGCGTACATATTTTATAGATGCCACCTCATTATATAATCTTTTTCGCGGGCATATTACAATAACAATAAAGAAAATTGGGTTGACAAGACTACCTAAACCCTAAATGAAGGAAGGGGGTTAGCAATTTTAGGGACCCTTTTTCAAATTAAAGGATTATTTTTTTTCTTTTTTTAAGTAATGCTCGAGTGTGAAAGATTTTTTAGAACTTGAAGTCCTGACGACCGGTTTGGAGGAGGGGGGCTCCAACCCTTTAGCCACGGCATTACCTTGTAAAAATGCCTATTAGGTGACACCAGCGCTTAATAAACATAAATATATATTTTTAAATATTCAATATTTGCTTACTATCGTTTATCGAGAACTTCATACATCATGATAACAGATACAAAAACAATTATCAGTGCATTTTCATTAAAAAAATAATGATAAAAGTTAAAAACTTTTTTTTTTTAATTTTTCCTGTATTTAAATAACCATGAAGTTACTTTTTTTCACTACTCTTTTTTGATATTTGAAAAAAAAAAAAATAATAAATCGACACAGCCTAGTGTATGACTTCTTTCAATAAATAAATCAACGTTTTTATTTTGGGCAATTAAAAATAGATTTCTGAATTATTACTTATATAATTAACCACATGTAAACACTTTTGATTTGTTTTTAAATTAATGAAATTAGTCAAAGCAACAATTTAATTAGTAAAATATTGATTTAATTAATAAATTACATTCGACTATACTTGTTTTGAAGAAACAAAAAACCAGTAGAGCGTAGCTTAAAATACTAACGCCAAAAGTATAAACTCCTACCTTTAGCAAACAATTTGGTAACTGACAGCAACCAGAATAATGCGTATATAAAATGTAAAAAAGCTGATATTCTAAACATTTTTTATTCTTAACTGTAAAAATGTTCGCAACAGAGAATTTTTCATTTTCAAGAAGCCATTTTTGCATTTCATTGAAGCGCTGCGTAAATATTCTCTTTCAAGTGCTGATCTGATACTTTATCTCACGTGATTTACTGAAACGGTAACAAAAGTTTGAAATTTTTAAAAGTTATTCTTCCGTCGTTAAAACTAACTTAGTTTTTAAAAAAATGATTACGGGATAAATATGCATGTATTGAAGTAAAACTTGAAAATGAATTCCGGTTTTTTATATTTTGTTTTGAAATATTAAACGGCAATCTTTTAATTTTTGTAAAGTTTTCAACTTATATAATTCAGCAAATAGTTTCGTTTTACTAAATATGATATCTCTTGATGTTGGCTGCATACTTCTGCAAATAGGTTGCACGCCTCTGTAATAAAGCTAAATAGATATAATTGTTTCTCCAAATGAGCAATAGACCTAAAACTTTTTCTAGTAAAAATTGTGACTTTTAGTATTATCTTTTCAAAATAAAATAAAATAATTTAACACTTACAAGACTATTCAAAGGTTCTTCAAAAGTCAATATAATTTTATAAACAATTCTTTTGTTATAATTTAACCGTTTTTAACCAGACGTTACCTAAAGTTAAATAAACTATACACCTACGTTAACCCGGCAATTAATATTTAAAAGAATTATCAAATAAGTTACCCCTTGCTAAGAACCAGTGAATAAAAAACCAGCATGCGGAGACATATTGCGCTGCATTTTAATGCAGAAGAATCTCTTCAAGTTATACACGTTTTTCATATTTACCAAATATTTATAGCATTTCAGTATAAATGGTATTAAATGATTAATTGAAATATAAATATACTTTTGCAAGGTTGCGAAAAAGTTTTTCGATTACTTCTCCAACAATATATATATATATATATATATATATATATATATATATATATATATATATATATATATATATATATATATATATATATATATATATATATATATATATATATATATATATATATATATATATATATATATATATATATATTCATATTATTTTATTCATAATCATATTGATGATGCTCATCCCCCCCCCCCATCTTTTCCTTAAATTCAAGTGATCCCCAGCCCAACTACTCTCTTCTATTTAGTTTTTATTATATAAATACTCAATACAGTTATAAGCAAAGTTGAATAAATTATATTTTAAATTTTCTCAATGTCTAAAACAATTTTTGTTTAAATTTTTGAACGTTTTAGAAAAGCTGCAACACTGATCAATTACAACCCAAGAAGGCCTGCCTACCTCTTTAAGATTTTATTGCGCTCTCAATCTCGCAGGCAATTGCATACAAATGGGTATGTAATTAAATACTTTTTGTAAGCCCAAGGTTAAAAAGATTTATGCCGATTAAGACTAATTTTTTAGTATATATATATTTAGTATATTTTTTAGTATATACGGAAAAAGTCTATCAAGTGTTTTTTTTTTTTTTTTTAAATTTGATATTGCTTGGGTGTGCAAATGTGTCAATTGATATCAGAAATTCTTTCATAAATGTGCAATAATAACATCATTTTCATAAACGTGCAACACAAAGTGCTTCATCATCCAAAATGAAAGTATGATTTATATATATATATTTTTTAATTTTTGGGTGTTTTTAAAGCTTAAAGTAACAGCATAATGCTGTGTTAGTCCATCCTAACAACTACAGGTGCCACCATGCAGCCAATAACAAAAAACTGTGCCATCAACTTTTCGCAAGTTTTAACAGTGAATCCTATAGACGTAGTTATGCTCTCTTTAATTGTTTGGTGGTCAGGTTTAGGGTAGCAATAAGTAGTGCGATGAGTAAGGGTAAGGCAAGGCCGTAGACAACTTTTTTTTTATGTTTCAGTTAAGCAACTTTGAAACTTAAAGAAAAATCTATTTTTAAGTATGTTCATATGCATGAGGAATGAGGATGCTATGCAAAAAATTGCGGTGATTAGAGATTGGGCACAATAAAAACCCCAAAACGTTAGCCCCAAATAGGACAGCAATGAGTCAAATTTGTTATCTTTATTTTAATCTTAAAGTTAATTTGTATTTATCGGCGAATTTCAAATTTGACTCAATAATATTTTTTTGATCGGCCTTTATGACCTTACGAAGTTTACAGCCCCCTCAATTTGAGGGGGAAGTAAACTTTAAAATATTTTAAAAGTCGAACAACAAAAAAATAATGAATAAAATTTGAAATTTTTCAATGAATAAAAATTAAATTTGAGAATAAAAGAAAAATAACAAGTTTGACTCATTGCCCTCCTATTTGGGGCTGGGTAAGCTAACGTTTTGGGGTTTTTGTAGTTCCCAGTCTCCAATCACCGCATATCATCCTCATTCCTCATATATATGAGCATACTTAAATATGGAGTTTTCTTCATGTTTTAAAGTTGCTTAGCTCAGACATGAAAAAAAGTTGTCTATGGCCTTGTAAGGATATAGGGTAAGTCCGGAGAAGGAGTTTGTGATAAAAGATTTATCCATGCAGTTCACTCAGTCTGGCTAATTAACCTAAAGCCGTAACTTAGGGCTCTTTATTCGAGCAACCGTGGCGCAGTGGAAGCGCACTTGCCTCAGAAACAAAGCCGGCCTCAGAACCATTAAACTGAGTTTTAGAGCTGTACCCTCATATGGAGATAACAAAAAGAGTTGCATAGCAGGCAAAGACTTTAAGGGTAAGCAGAAAAATTCTGCTAACCAGCCTCGAACCCCTTCTTCATCTATTAGGCTGGCGTAGATGTAACCTGTGTTACATTGTTTCCTGCCTAGGATGATGAATGCTGGATCTACTTGACTCTACTCATAGAATTTTGCTTATGCCTTCTTGATAATGAGGAGGCCTTCTACAAGACAGTATCTGGATGCAGTTAACATCTGCCCAAGATGAGTATTTTTATCGAGACACCATCTCTAGCCTTTACTCAACCAAGAGCCCCAAGGCAGGGGATGTTTAGCTGGACGCAGTTAATATCTGCCCAAAATGAGTATTTTTATCGAGACACCATCTCTAGCCTTTACTAAACCAAGAGCTCTAAGGCAGGGTAATTTTTAGTCAGAGTTTATTTCTCCTAGCCTTTGCCTAAAAAGAGCACACTTTGCATAGCAGCAGGGCTTGTGGCAGGTCGTACTGGGTTACGTGATACCAGTAGCAAGATTGATCTTGATTATCCTGACCTGACCTGGAGTAGTTAAAAAGAGTTACTTCCCGCAACAGTACTTTGAGAAAACAAGGCATGACATTTTGGAAGTGCATTAGGAAAAACACTGCATCTAACAAAATACAGGAGTCAAAGGTGAGTGTAGGTTTTGTAGTTGGAGTAAGTAGCTAGTTACTGAGCTCACGCTGCATCAGAGAATAAACAGAACACAAATAAACATAAAGTAACTTGCGGGTGAGCGAACACCGCGCCAGAGGTTCAGACAGAACACAGACGTACATAAAAAACATAAAGTAACTTACGGGTAAGCGAACACTGCGCCATAGGTTTAGACAGAGTGCATACATACATATACAGTAGAATACAGGTGAGCTAATACAGTAACTAAGGCACCTCCAACTATATATATATATAAAAAAAAAAATTATTATTACTATAGGCATGACTGATATAAGATAGTACTGATGACAGGAAGCACACTCCTTCCAGCCTTTGCTTAGAAAGCAAATCCTGCAAGGCAGCAGAACATGGAACAGGAACATGTAACAAAATTAACACAACATATGGCAATTTTGATTTTATTCGTTATTAACATGACAATTTCGTCATGATTTTAAAATCATTTTATATTTTTTTATTTGCAAAAAAAATTCTTTTATTCAGACATTACAATTGATGATACTTTAGGATTGCGATCATAAATATTTAAAAAAAATTATTTTTTTAGATTTTTGCATATCATGAAAAAGCAAAAGACATCAAGATCTAACTAAATGAAAAAAGCATAGACGTGATAAGGGCGCAGCTTTAGTTTGAAAAGTTAAAAGTTTGTATACAGAAAAATCACGAATATGATATCTAACTGGCAGTTGGATTTCTTTTTTTTTTTTGAATGTTGTTGAAATGGATGCGAAAAATAAACAGGTTGACAAACGTGTAGAGATTTTAGAAGTAGCAAAAGTAATTTTTATGAATTTTTGTGGGAAGCAGTTGTGGCAAATAATTGTATTGTAGTTCATTATAACAAATGCACCAAGTTGTATTATCAGTTTGGTTGTTATACATGCTGTTTAACATGTGTAAGTAGTTTTGTTTAATACTTTAATTGTCAGTTGTATTATCAATTTAGTTGTTATGCATACTGTTTAATAACAGTATTTTTCAAAGTTGATAGTTTATTTTAATTTTAGAGTTCTTGATGTTTTTTTGGCATTAATGATGTCAGATATCAAGTTATTTACCTGAAGGATAAAAAATACTTGCGAACACTGAGTTTACACTTTAGTTTGTGTAAATTTGAATTTTTGACTTCAAATGTAAATATAGTTGTTTACTAAAAAGAAATTTGATATATTTAGGCAAACTTCATTAATGCAAATTAATCAGCGTTATTTTGTAAAAACAATTCAGCGCTAGAGATTTCACATGATTTTATTCCCAAATTTTAAAAATAGACCTAGCGCTAGGTACCTGGACTTGGACCCAGTATTTTCTCCTGGGTATCCGGAATCAGGGACTCTGCATAAACTGGTTCCAGTACATCTCTAAAAGACATAATTTGTGGTCCATTGCTATGGGAAATATTTTATATTTATCAATTTTTTAGAATGCGATTTTGAATAATTTAGGGATTTAACTTTGATATGTCTATATATATTTTTTGGAAAATAATTTTTTATATTATAATAGTATGCTAGTAGATTATAATGGTATGCAGATTATAATCGTATGCAAGTAAAGTCTTGTTATATTATTCATTTCTAGACAAAAATATAGTTACAAAAGAATATGCATTAGTATAATTTAATAGAATAAAAGCTTTTTAACTAATAATCTTTTTATATAAGCTTATTTTGAATAATTAAAGAAAATAATAATTAGACAAAAAGCATTAATCTTTATAAATATATGATTAAAAATCTTAAAATTAACTTGAATATACTGCCAATACAGTATATTTTAAAATAATTTTACTAATTTTAGATATGCACAACTGATTTTTTTAAGAATTGTGATCAAAAAAGTGATCCTAGTTGTTCAAAAAAAAACTATAAATATGATTCAAGAGCTAGCTTTGCATTTTGCTTGGATTTTAAATAAAATGCAAATTTTAATAATTTAAAAAGCAAGTATTCATATGGATTAAAAAAATGTATCACAAGTAGAGGTACTATTATTTTTGATAATATAGATATATTTTAGAGGTTTTTAAGTTAGCTTGAGTAATCATGCGCACAGCAGGTTCAAAAAATTTTTATATATGTAAAAATTTAAAATTTATATATAATTATTTAATAAAAACATGTTAAGTCCACGCATACAGACTTAAGTTTAAGGAAGGAGTTGAAATTGAAGAAAAATGTTTAATTTAAGCTAATTTCAAAAATCAATTATTAATGCAAGTATGCAAGATTAAAAACCTTTTAATTTTTCAAATTAAACTCTATACTATATTAATTATTTTTTTAAAAAATATCCATACATATATGTATATAGTTCTAAATTTACATGAAATTTAAAAAATGTATTTTTGAAAAAAGTTATGTATTAATTTTAATCACTTTTGGATACGGTTATTGGTTTTTATTTCAAGTAAAAGTATGAAATCTATATATTTTTAAATAACCTGGATAATATAGAATTTAAAAATAATATATATAAAAATATTATTTAAAATTTTTAGTTTGGTCACTTTTTGTTTTTTTCAAACCACTGTGAAACTTTTTCAAATTGTTTGTCTGGCTAAGGGTAAGGACTGAAGAAAGTGTCTAGCTAATAAGGAAACATATTCTAATAGTTACCCAAGTAAAATGTATGAAATTCCACTTATAATTATGTTATACTGTTATGCTACATTAACAAGGCTTGAAGTTGGAGAATAAATATAAAATAATCAATAGATCGAAAAAATAAAAAGATTTGTGTATAGAAACATTTTATTATAATTCGTTATAAATTCAAATTAGTTTTTCAAAATCAGTTATGTTCAAAAACATGCAAGATAAAAAAGTTGTGAAGTATCCAAGAAATTTGGAAATAATGCTAAGCAACAAATTAAAAACAGATTTTAACTTTTATTGCAAATTTCAAATGTATAAGTTTTGTAATTGTCTAAGTTTTGTGGCCTTGTTCGTCAAGGTTCGTGTTTCGGAGTTATAGAGTTGAGAGAGGGTTATAGCCACAAAATAAGTAGCCTCCTCGTTTGTAGTGGCCTTCTCGGCCTTGAGGAGGTGAAGTAAAATAAAAAAAAAATCCCGCCTAATATATATTAAATAAATTTTATTTTTAGCTATTCTTTAAAAGAACAGTTAAGTATTGCACATAGCAACCAAAAAAAAGTAGAAGAAGAGAATGAAGACATGAATAAACAGCTTCTTGAATTAGTCATAAAAAAAGATAAACTGCAAGCTGATTTCAGCCAGGTTATTTGGAATGTTTTTGTTTATTTTTTTTTTATTTTTATTGCATTTCTACATTTTAATCATTAGTTAAACTTGTTAAGATATCTAGTAACTGATTTCTCAAAATAAGAAGAGTTTTGTTACTTGGGAAAAAAAAAGAAATAAATAAAGGTTTAAGACATGACTTTAGCAACAGAAAATTTATTTAAGTAATATGGTTCCAAAAATTTTCCTAACCAGTACTTCAATTGTTTTTGTAAAGATCTGATAGCAAAGTGATAAAGCAGTAAATTTAATAACTTTTGATTAAAATAATAATGACGTTACTGAGTTTATTAAAGTTGCTTGGTATAGTTGCTAAGTTCATTATAGTTGCTTAGTAATATTGCTAAGTTCATTAAAGTTTCTAAGTACTGTTGCAAAGTTCATTAAAGTTGCTTAGTTTTGTTGCTAAGTTCATTATAGAAATTTGAAAAGTTATTTAAATAGTGTTTGTATTTAAATAGTTCTGAAACATATATTTATGATTAGTAAAATAAGTTTTTTCTTCTCTAAAATATTTAAATTTTTTTTCTTTTCTCACAAATTTAATTTATAATAAATTTATAAATAAATAACAAATTATTGATAATTACTAAACAGAATATTATTACTGGTCTAGTGTTGTTTCTAAGTACATTAATATTTTAGTTAGGATCTCTTCTAATATATATATTTTTCACTCTTTATCTCTTGTTGTTTTCTTTAAATGTTAGTTCATTAATTTTTGAATACTTTTGAATAGTTTTTAAATAAAGGTTGCAATAAATTTATAATGAAAATGCGAGTCTAGATGTGTTAAATGTTATTTTTTATGCTTTTAATATTCATAAATGTATTTATTTACTTTAATAATATAAAATTAGAAATGTGAACAAGAAGCAAGCCACAAGGAAGAACTACTACGTGATCAGTTAAACAACTACGTGATCAGTTAAACAAAACTTGTCCAAAACTTTCTTATTATTAAAAACAAAAATCCGTTCTAATTTCCAATATAAAAGTTGGTTGTGAAGTCAGTTAAATATGGAAACTCTTATCATAAGACACAGCTTTATGGAGTCAGTAGTTTTCTGTTGGACAAGTTAAGATATGAACTTAATAGATCTACTAAATAGTCTATTAAGAGATATAAAATTAATCGATCTACTAAGTAATCTATTAGGAGATTCATAAATAAAAAATTGTTAGATCTACAAAGAATTAAAAACAATTAGGAAGACAATGCAGTCTTTCTGATTGTTTTTTATTTTTTGTAGATCCAGTAATTTCATATCTTTCTCGATTTAGATCATATCTTGTAACACGTAGGTACAAGATATGATTGTAAATAACAACTGTCTACCATAAAATATGTAGGAGGTAATGTAAAATTCAAGGGAAATTTTAGTTAAGTCTGTGTTGATCTGCTCCTAGATATACTGGAGTTATGGATCAAAGATATACAAAGATGTAATGGAATGCCAGTAAGATAAGGATCCCAAACACCCAGCTGAATTGGTTAAAAAATCTTCAAGAAGATTAAAGTTCATTTTTTGAAATCTAGTTTACTTTATATTTCATAAATGTGGAGCTTAACTAATGCAATTTTGCTTTTCTATAAAGTTTTCACAAAGTGTTGTTGAAAAATTAGTCCTTTTTTAATTATAAATGTATTGTCAATTTTTGAACTGATCAAAAATCTTTATTATAAATCAATTAAATTCATTAATAAAGTTTCCAATATTCGTTCAAAACATAATATTAATCCGTTAATAAAATTCCAACATTCATTCATTACATAATATTAAACATAAAAAATTTTTAAATGGTATTTATGTAAGCTTTAGTAAAATGCTGAAATATAGCATTATAATTCAATTTTTTTTTTAAACTTTTCCACAATTTTTTAGATCCTACAGAAGGTGAAAAATGATTGTCACTTTTAATTACTTTGTAATTAAAAGTGACAATCATTTTAAGTTAGTCAATCTTGTTTCATATAATATTAAAGAATTTATGTAAAAATTTGAAGCAAATCAAATAATTGGGGATCAATAAAAGTTTTTACTTTTTAAGTATATGTAGACCACACGGGTAAAAACACAGATGTCATATTTTTCTCACTTAAAGAAAAATGAAATTTAGTGTTTAGTGACATTAGGTATCTGTTTATTAATAATTTATTTAAATAAAAGTATATTTTTCTGATATTTTAGTCCTTATACAATATAAAAAATGCAGTTTTTGTGCTAAATGCAAGTATTATTTACTCAAAGTATTCTATTGAAAACAAGACACTCATTTTGGACATCTGTGGTTTTTTAGTTGTAAACTCATTAACTCACAAATTACATTAGCTTGTACCCTTTTAGAGCACTTATTTTTTTTAATGTAGATTGTAATATACAACTACAATGTTGTATACACATTGTAATATACAGCTACTATGTACTAAGTGTGTGATGGAATAATAAATTCGTCCCCCCCCCCCCCCCTCTTTTAATAAAAAAATTCAAACAAAATATTAGATCAGGCTTTCACAGGAAGGCGTGCGATTTCATGTCTTTATATGACCACGCAAAAAGTAATATGTTTTAACAATCTTTGTTTCAACATTTGTATATATTTTTTATTTATTTAATATGTTCAAAAGTTAAACATTTCTCATAAAAAATACATAGTTATATAAATAAAATAAAAAAACATTTAATTATTATTTTTTTTTAATTAATTAGAAGTGTTTTTTTTACTTCATTAAAAGCGTTTCCATAATATAAAAGCATTTAAGATCAAACTTATTAAATTGTAACGGCTTGCTAAAACTTTTTTTTTTAACGAAATTTTGTTTATCTTTTTAAATGCATGACTCTACTCATAGAATTTTGCTTATGCCTCCTTGATAATGGCTATGCAACTCTTCCTGTTATCTCCATATGAGGGCACAGCTTTAAAACTCAGTTTAATGGTTCTGAGGCCGGCTGGTAGTATGGTTTCCCGAACTCTGTGGTAGCTCTCAGAGAGGCTGATTCCATCAACAGCTGCAAAGTATCAGAGTATTAACAGTGTCGTGTTGCGCATGGATGGTGTCCCTGTTAATGCTTTTGGTGTGCATTGTCAAGGCCACATAAGGAGCCCTATGTCACGGCTTAGGGTTAATTAACAGGACTGAAACATTTGCATAGCTCATTGATTAGGAGGCTGTGCTCTATCTATGAATGAGTCAAGTTCTCATTAAACCCAAATCATGACCAAAGTAACCAAAAATTTAAAACCTAAAAAACCATCCCCACCACCTAAATATTTTAATATATCTTTTACAAATATTCGCGGCCTACAAAGCAACTTTCCATCAGTTGAGTCTTACCTCCTGCAAAATTCACCAGACTTGCTTGCACTCAGTGAAACAAATTTAAGTTCTGCAATTCCTTCTTCAGATGTCAGTGTTGATGGGTACTATCCTTTGATTCGTAAAGACTCCAATAGTCACATGCTAGGTTTAGGGGTATACATACGCATTAATTCCCCTATTTGTAGTGAAATCAGGTTCGAATCCTTTGCGCCATTTTTTTATGTGCTTTCGCCTAGCACCTCTTCACTCTATCACCTTTCTCTTTGTTCTTTATCGTTCTCCTTCTTCCCATGATTGCACTCTTTTAGATGTTATCTCTGATCAAATTGACCATGCCCTCTCTCTTTACCCCTCTGCCAATATTGTTGTTGTTGGTGATTTTAATGCCCATCACACTGAATGGCTTGGCTCTAACACCACTGATCCTGCTGGCACTAAAGCCTTTAACTTCTGCGTTTCTCAATCTCTTACTCAGATAGTTAACTTTGTGACTCGTTTTCCTGACAACCCTAATCATTTACCTTCACTCCTTGACTTATGTCTTGTCTCTGACCCTAGCTTATGTTCAGTTTCTCCCTTTTCTTCCTTAGGTGGTTCTGACCATGCAATGATCTCTATAAATCTTTCTTCTCGTACTTCTTTTTTGGCTCACCTTATCATCGCACCACCAACTACTACCCTAAAGCTGACTGGGATTCCTTTCGTGATTTTCTTCGTGATGGTCCTTGGGCTGATGTTTTTTCTCTCTCAGCTGACAGATGTGCCTCCTACGTAACCTCCTGGATTCAGGCTGGAATGGAAGCTTATATTCCTTCTCGTCGGTTTCAAGTCAAGCCTCATTCTACTTCATGGTTTTCTCCTTCTTGTGCGGCTCCTATATCGAATCGTAATCATTTTTTTCATCTTTTTCAAAAGAACAACTCTCTTGAGAACAAACGGCTATTTATTATTGCAAGAAATCGATGTAAAAAGGTGCTTTCTGATGCTAAACTCCATTATTCTCAGTTCACTAAATCTCGCATCTTATCGCAGAAGTTAGGCTCTAAAGACTTTTGGAAAATCTTCAACAGCATTGTTAACAAGGGTAGATCTAACATTCCATCTCTCATTCATGGGACTGATCTTGTTACCTCTCCCAGGGATAAGGCAGAACTGTTTGCAAAGAACTTTTCTTCTAATTTCACTCTTGAATCTTATGGACATTCTCTTCCTTCCATTCCAGTCAAACAGGTTGACCCATTGTTAGACATTCAAATCACTCCGGCTTCTGTTGCTAAAGTCATATCTCAATTAAACTTGTCTACAGCTTGTGGTCCAGACAACATTCCTGTCACAGTCTTGCAGAATTGTTCTCCAGAACTTTCTTCAATTCTCTCTAAACTATTTAACAAATGTTTGACTGAGTCTTGTTTTCCTGCTTGTTGGAAAATGGCATCTGTGGTTCCAATATTCAAAAACTCTGGAGAAAATTCTGACCCCTCCAATTATTGTCCGATCAGTCTTCTTTCTGTTATTAGCAAGGTCTTTGAGTCTTTGATCAACAAATTCCTCACATCTCATCTTGAGTCAAATAAACTGCTGTCAGACAATCAATACGGTTTTCGATCCTCTCGCTCTACGGCCGACTTGCTAACTGCTGTAACTGAAAGAT